CAACACATGGTCCAAACAGAACCAGAACCAACACATGGTCCAAACAGCAGCTGTTTCCGGGCTCTACGTACCCAGAACAGGAAGTTGAAGACAAACATGGCGTACTTGATGCACTGCATCCCCTTCATGGCTTCGAAGCTTCCTGAGGAGAACCGGGTCCAGTTCGGTGGGTCGACAGAGCTAAAGAGCTGCACCTGCTGCAGGTTTCTGAGTTTCCGTGAGCAGCCACGCCCCCTCCGCGCCTCACCTGGCTGCGGGCAGAGGGGGCGGGGCTTCGCCTGCTGATTGACAGCTCAGAGAGCAGGTGGAAGCACTTGATACACCACGCAGAAGAAACGTGTACATTTGTGTTTAAATCATATTTTTACACTTTAATGAGTTATTCTATGCTACAAACTAAAAATAAATAAAACAATTAATTTGAGATTAATTAAATAAAAACTGCAGTCAGAAAACAATAATAAACTGATTATTGATTATAAAACCATACAGATTTACAAAACTAAATCTCTGTATAAAAACTCCTTTAAAACAAACAAAACAAAACTTTCTTTGCATTATCTGCAGATTGTTATTTACTCTTTTAAGAAGATGATAATAAATTAAACTTTTAGAGTTGAAGGGGGTTGTTTGTTTATATGTGGCGGGCGTGTGTAGTTCATATAAAACTAAATGAACCTTAAACACCTCAAACATAATCAGAACGAGGATCAGATCGTCTCGGGGGGTTGGGGGCCGTCTGGGACTCGGTGCCGAGGTAACCGGATCATCTCGCTGCACCACTGGACCCAGTAAACCCAATAACAGCAGCTTTGTTTCTGTGCTCATTTCCCTCCGTCGCTGCACCAGAAACACTTTAAGAGACGACATTTAACGACAAATCATATTCTGACAATCTATAATCAATAATTCATGGATCTGAAAACAAATCCTTCAAATCAAAGTAATAAAAGACAAAAACAAATATTAGTCCTACTTTTTAGCTTCAAACGCTGGTGTTTGTAATGTTGATGTACCAGCACAGGATGTTTGACCTGAGAACTTTCTTTTATTTATTTATTTATTTATTTATTTATTTATTTATTTATGCAGAAACTGGAGCTGAATCCTCCGGCTGAGGGAGGAAACTTGGTTCAGGCTGATTTCAGCTGCAGACAGGAAGTGAAAAAGGCTGAACACCTGGTTCTGATTTAACATGTTCTCTTCAGCGCCCCCTGCTGGACCAGAGCTGAACTCCACCACGAGGCCAAAATGAGAATAAATGATTAAAAATGCCTCCAGGTAAACAAAGTAGAAGTTCTCAACGTTAAGGTTTAAAACCAGAACATTTACCTTTTTGTCCTACTCTGGGTCCTTCTATTCTCACTATTGTGAATAGCAGTTTAACCTCAGGTGTGGTGCCAAAAACCTTTAAGCATGCTGATAACCTCTGCTGAAAAAAACAAACCTTGACCCCTGAATCGTGTTCAACTTCCGGCCCGTCTCCAAACTCCCGTTTGTTTCTAAACTACTGGAAAAAATAGTTGAGTCCCAGTTGAAGTGCTTCCTAGAGGATCACGCCATCTTAGAGCTATTTCAATCTGGCTTTAAACCTCTCCACAGCACTGAAACTGCCCTTCTCAAGGTCTTTAACGACATCTTCCTATCCACAGATACCGGTGATTCTGTGCTCCTCGTCTTACTGGACCTTACATCTGCTTTTGACACCATCGACCATGAGATCCTCATTGCTAGGTTGGAGCAGTGGGTGGGCATCACAGGGTCAGCCCTCAAGTGGTTCAAATGCTACCTCGATGACAGATCCTTTTGTGTCTCCATCAAAGAATTTAGTTCTTCAGCATCAGCAGCACTTAAATGGGGGGTACCGCAGGGGTCCATCCTCGGTCCCCTTCTATTTTCTTTATAGCTGCTGCCACTAGGTGCTATTTTCCAGAAACATAGCATACCCTTTCACTTCTACGCCAGTGACTGCCAAATTTACTTCTCCCTAAGACACAATGGTACATGCTCTATTCAACCGCTGCTCAACTGCCTGGCTGACATTAGGAACTGGATGGCTTTAAATTTCTTAAGTTTCAATGAGAAGAAGTCTGAAGTCATGTTGTTCCCTCCCAACGACACGATCACAAACCACTGCATTGACCTTTCCGCTCTAGCCCCGTTACAGAAACAAAGAGTCACTAATCTGGGAGTGATAATGGACCCTTCCCTGAAACTTAGTCCTGTAAACATGATTGTTAAATCATGTTTTTTCCAGCTGAGGCAGCTGTTTAAACTGAAGCCCATATTGTCCAAAAAGAACCTGGAGACAGTAATACATGCATTCATTACATCTAGGCTTGATTACTGCAATTCACTCCTGTTTGGTATCAGTCAGACCTCCACTGCACGACTACAACTGGTCCAGAATGCGGCAGCCCGATTTTTAACCAGTACAGGCAAAAGAGAGCACATTACACCAGTTTTGGCCTCACTGCACTGGCTACCGGTTCACCTTCAAATCCAGTTCAAAACCCTCTTGTATGTCTATAAATCACTGAACAGCTCTGCACCCTCCTATCTCACTGATCTGCTGCAGCCGTATGTCCCACCACGTTCTCTGGGGTCAGCAGACCAGTTCCTTCTCACAGTTCCAGGAACTCGTCTTAAGCGCAGAGGTGACAGGGCCTTCTCTGTAGCAGGACCAAGACTTTGGAATGAGTTACCTCTGCTTGGCAGGCAGGCCCCTCCCTCACACTTTTTAAATCCCCCTTAAAAACCCACTACTATTCCGTGGGTTTCAACACTGTATGATCTGTGCTGAACCTGTATGCATCACACTGTGTTTGTCATTATGTTATTATCTGCTATTATTTTGTTTCTATATTTTGATTTTATGTTATGTGTTGCTGTGTGCTGTTTGAACAGCACTTTGGTTGGCCTTGTTGCTGTTTAAAGTGCCTTATAAATAAAATGGTATGGTATGTGCTGTTGGGGTTCTTCATTGCTTTAAGTTTCCATCTTTTGTTGTTTCTTCAGCTCTTCTGCAGCCAAAACCTTCTCCCATCAATCCTCAGATCTGATCCAAGTCTTCAGGGCTTGACAACCGTGTTCCATCTCTACCCGAAATGACTGACCGACTTTTGTCTATCTTGTATTTTTAAACTCATCTCTTGTCTCTGATTGGCTTGTTTCTGATCCAACATCCATTTTGAAATATTGTCAACCATTCTGAAGACTTTTCAACTATACAAAAGTTTGTCTCCTTTATTTTCAGCAGGTGGTTTTTATGCAACCACTCAGCTGTCTAAACAGCGTAACACTTCTGCTGTAAGCTTGTGACAGGTGCTTTGCCCAACATCCTCCTATCCAGCCACCACCCTTATTTCTCAACTCTCAACCTTTAATCTTAAACGTAAAAAATAAACTTACTAAAAAGAGGTATAAACTCACAGTTTGTGTCTTTGTAGACCAAGACAACACATCTTGTAACAGGATGTGTGTGTGTGTGTGTGTGTGTGTGCGTGTGTGCGCGCGTGTGTGCGTGTGTGTGAATCCTAACCACACTGCTGAGTTTCCCATCAATTCCTTCAAGTGACACTGTTTCTCAACTTTGAACTTTGCTCTTCTAATCCTAAACGAGAAAAAAAACGTACTAATAGAGAGGTATAAAAACCTTTCTTATAAAATCACTTGACTTAACAATTAAAAGTGAAATCCAGATCTAACTTATAATCACTTAATGAGTAATTATTGATCACAAAGTAGATTATAAAGGAACTTTTGATTACAAAACATCATAACATTTGATTGTTTCAGCACCTTGACAGACAGAAATAACATTTTTCTTTTAATCAACACACCCACAAAACTTCTTTTATTGATCATTCATTCATTAAAATTGATTTATTTCAGTCCACCTCCACCAGACGAGCGCAGTCTGACCTCAACAACTCTTTTCATCCACCTAACTTGACAAACTATTATTAGACCTAGAAAAGCTCATTGCTTAAAATGAATTACCACAAAGTCTATAAAAACCGTGCTGCCAAAATGTATTTACTGTAAAGATCAAGGATTTTACGGTTCTTAAAACATAAAACATATCTACCTCTAATAACAATAACAACAATAATAACAATAATACGGCTATGTGGTAAACAAGCACTGGGGGTGGTTCATCTATTTTTACCTTAAATAAAAGAATAATCTATTTTTTAAGGTGAAATGTTAAAAAAAATATATATTTTCAACTCACCCAGAACACGAAGTTGAAGATAAAAAGAGCATATTTGACACATAACTCCCAGCTGCTGAGCGCGGTCATCCTTCAGCTGTTAGTGGTTTAAACACGGAGGGAAATCCAACAGTTTGTCCGTCAGTCCGCTTCAGCTGCAGCTGCCTGGGCTCGGCTCTGCTCGGCTCTGTTCGGCTCTGCTCGGCTCTGCTCGGCTCACTCCGGTCACTTCCGTCAGGACTCGGCTGGAGCTTGGAGAACAACAGTTTCAGGAGACGGACAATCACATGATCAAACTCCTACAGTTACCAGAGAATAAAATGGTTGTTCAATTCTTTTTGTCTTTTTTTATTTTTGGTTCTATATTTTTTAAAAATAATAATGAAGATAAATCATGTGCTTTTAATGTGGACAAACTAACAGACAATAAACAAGTTAAAATTCTAACCACTACAAAAAGCAAACAAATTATAAACATCAACTAAAAGCTACAAAAACATTATAAAAATCCTAAAATGTAAGAGACAACATTTATATAATCAAATTAAACACGTTTAAATCATGTAAAAACATAAAAACACAACAAAAACTTTATTGCTTGAAAACCTATATTTTTAATAAATTGTTTAAAATTTGGTTTGAAATTATGGAACTTTAAAAAAATCAGATTACAGAAGTTAAACTGGGAAGAAAAGTAGATTAAAGTGAAAAGTGGTGCATGCATGTTTTCAGCCCTTTTGTTTTCAAGTTCTCACAAGTCAGGTGAAAGTGTAACGGCTGATTTTAGCTGTTGTTTACTGTTTACAAACATTTTTACAGCTGCAGTTCTGTGACTTTTAATTCCTGTTATGCCTTTCCATAGTTTGCTTATCATTCATAGTCTTGCTTTTAGCTAGTATCAGCTACTCTTTTGTTGATTTTAGTTTAGGATTAAATAAGTTTTACTTCGTCCGACCACCTCTCAGACATGTTAAATGGGATTTGTGTGTGCACGACCTATCCATGCATGTGTACATGGATAGGTCAATGGTTTTGACATGTCTGGAATGCACCAACAAAAATAACTAACTAAATAAATAAAGCTTCTATTCTGCTCATTTTAACTTCTGTTCTGCTCATTTTAGCTT